CAACAGGGAAACGTGACCTAATTTGTTTTTCTTTTAGCTCACCACATCTTCAAAATGACTTGGATCACAAACACCCGATTAATAGTAATTATGTGTTACAATAACTTTCTGAGTGATTCTAAATAGAAACTGATCCTCTGCTGCCTCAAGGCTGTGCTCCTTCCTACCAGGGCTGTATAGAGGAAAGGCAAAGAGCCAGGAACAGAGAATCTGGAGGGACCAATGGGGTGGGGGAGGGGAGAATACTGGGGAGCAAATGAAGGGGTGGTTTCAGGCTGATCTCTAAAGGGGGGATTGGCAGGGCATGGGGGTCAGTGAAGGGGCAAGAACAGAGCTGGCTGGGAAAAAAAACAAGAACATTTTCAAAAGTTGGGAGAGTTTTAATACCAAGGGTTTTATTGTTTTCTTCCTTTCCCCCTGAAAAAGAGGAAGGGAAGGAAAATAACCAAAAGGCCTGATCATTTTTCAGTTTTTAATAGAAACATTTCAAAATCAAAACAAAAAAGTCACAAAATTTTCATTATTGAGACCAGGCCAATTTGTGATGAAAAAAAAATATTGTTCCAAATGTGTTGGTACAAGACTCAGTGGTGGGACAGAAAGGAGAGGGGGCATGGAAAGACAGGGGCTTTTATCCAGGTTTGAAAACCAGAAGTATTTGAAACCATCGAGGGCTTAAAGAGCTTCCCTCCCTTCCATTTGCCACAGCCCACCCATAGAGTGGGTCATTAACGTTTGCAGGTGGAGAGTCCTTCTTTGGAGGGCTCATGATATCTGACAGCGCAGAGCTGGCTGGCTTTATCATCAGCTGGACAATGTCTGTTACACAAACAAGGAAATTCCTAAACCAAGAACTTGGTTACGAGAGGAGGTAATGCTGAAGGCATGTTTTATCCACAGCTCACACCCCACTCACGAGAATGTTACACATTTAAAAACAAAAATTAAGTGTGGCAATGAACAGTCACTCCCTGCCCCCACCCCACCCCACCCCCAGGCAGTCCAGCTCTCACCGTGACCACACCCCATTTATATACTTCACTCTCAACCTGAACTTTGCCCCCTTGCATTTGCAGAGCTAATATGCCAAGGTCAAAATAAAGAGTTACTAGATTATAAAACCCCATTCCCTACTCAAAGGCTACGTCTGCAATACACTCTAACGCTAGCATAAACTGCAGCGCGACGCCCCACACGCTGGCTTTAGTTGGTACACAATGGAACTGAAATAGTTCAAAATACAAAGGTGCAAGCTCTGGGGCATCACACACAACACACATCACACCAAGCGAAGCAACCATGCATTGCATTCCTACAGGCTCCCTGCTGTCACACACACACACACACCCCACAGAGGATGAACTCCTGCCCTACTGAAATCCCTGACAAAGGCCCCATTGACTTCTCCCACAGAACCCAGTATTGCCAAGCACAGGCACGGAACCAGGAGAGTTTTTAAAATACCGACACATCCAGGGTTGGGTTTGGTCTGCACTTCTGAGCCTTTTGGTTGCGCTCAGGTCACATTCTCAAGCTTTCCTCCGCAACCATGAGGCCTGAATGAGCTGAGATTCTCCTGCAATCTCCTGCTTTCAGCAGCTGCGCTGGTAAGAAACACACCCCAACCGCCAGATGTTTGATAGAAGCGTTTGAGGGGCAGCATGGACACCCCGTCGTCACCTAGGAGACCGCACCGTGGGGTCTATGGAACTGCACTACACATGCAGGGCCTGATGTTCACGAGCTCCACACACACAACTGAGGCCTGGTTTTTAGGAGCACTTGAACCCAGATCTTCAAAGGCATTTAGACACCTGACTCCCATTGAGGCTCTGGGCCTCAGCTCCCAGCAGCTGCCCCTGTGAGGACACTGATGGCCAGATTTGTCAAGGGCTCCCCACCCTGAACATTGGGTGCTAAGCTCTTGGGGAAAATATCCTGCCTTAATAAACAAGGCATAAAAACCCCTCAAAAGTCCCCTGCCAGAAGCTGCTCCCATAACAGAATGCGACAAGAGAGCAGCTTGAAGGTTAGATGGATGGCAAAAGTCAGGGATGTTTGGATGCAGGGGGTTAGACTTGGGCCATCTGGATTTTCCTCCAGTGAGGAAAAGCCACTGAAGTGACCCCTCAATCCGACACATCATCTTGGAGGTGGGTTTCCCCTCTTGAGTCTGATTATTTTTTCCCTGGTTGTTTTCTCCTTTTGCCCCCCAGAAATCTTTCAAATGATCAATCTCCCTCCCATCTTCATGTCCCATCTCAGAAGAGCAAGCAGTAGAGGAGAGTGGCACTGGCTTCAACAAACAGTCTCTTTAAAAAACAACAAGGAGTCTGGTGGCACCTTAAAGACTAACAGATTTATTTGGGCATAAGCTTTCGTGGGTAAAAAACCCACTTCTTCAGATGCATGGAGTGAAAGTTACAGATGCAGGCATTAGATACTGACATGTGAAGAGAAGGGAGTTACCTCACAAGTGGAGAGCCAGTGTTGACAGGGCCAATTCGATCAGGGTAGATGTAGTCCACTCCCAATAACTGATGAGGAGGTGTCAATTCCAAGAGAGGCAAAGCTGCTTCTGTAGTGAGCCAGCCACTCCCAGTCCCTATTCAAGCCCAGATTAATGGTGTTAAATTTGCAAATGAATTTTAGTTCTGCAGTTTCTCTTTGAAATCTGTTTTTGAAGTTTTTTTGTTCAAGCGTGGCTACTTTTAGATCTGTTATAGAATGTCCAGGAAGATTGAAGTGTTCTCCTACTGGCTTTTGTATGTAGCCATTCCTGATGTCTGATTTGTGTCCATTTATTCTTTTACGTAGAGACTGTCCGGTTTGTCCAATGTACATGGCAGAAGGGCATTGCTGGCACATGATGGCATATATCACATTAGTAGATGTGCAGATGAATGAGCCCCTGATGGTGTGGCTGATGTGGTTGGGTCCTCTGATGTGTCGCTAGAGTAGATATGGGGACAGAGTAGGCAATGGGGTTTGTTACAGGGATTGGTTCCTGTGTTAATGTTTCTGTGGTGTGGTGTGTATTTGCTGGTGAGTATTTGCTTCAGGTTAGGGGGCTGTCTGTAAGCAAGGACTGGCCTGTCTCCCAAGGTCTGTGAGAGTGAGGGATCGTTTTCCAGGATAGGTTATAAAATCACATCTCTAAAAAATCCTTGCATAGATTTTTAGATGCACAATCTGAGTATTCATCTTTAGCCTTAAATGCTTGGATCTCCAGACATAGTTTTTAAAATAAATCATTCAAAAGACCACCCTTATCTAAAATACACATGTGAGCCCAGGCTGCCATCAGGCACAGGGGCACCAGTTTAATAATACTGCATAGGGCTCCATAAATCCTCAGGATGGCACTGAAGGCAAATATAGTGCCCATCTTCTAAAAAGGGAAGAAGGAGAACCCAGGGAACTACAGACTACAGCCTCACCTCTGGCCCCAGAAAAATCATGGAGCAGTGTGAGAGGTCTGGACTCACCCCTGCAGCGCCTCCTGCTGGTCATACAGGGAATTAGCTCACCAGCCTCTGGAGCACCTTCTGCAGGCCGGTGATCCACCTTATCCTCTTCTCTGGGTCCCATGTCCCTCCCAGGACCCCAGTGCCCCTTGCCCTGGGTGCTGCCCCCTGGCAATACCCACACACACGCTAGGTCTCCCCTCCCAGGGTAACCCCCACCCACTAACCCCACCTCACCTCAGGATAAGGCCACGGACAGTCACCAACTAGCCCCCACTCTCTGGGGCAGACTGCAGTATAGGCCACTCATCATCAACAAGGTTGGGTTTGGACCTGCTGCCTTGGCCTAGCCCTGGGCTGCCCTCTGCAACCCCCAGTACCTCTTAGCCTTCTCCTAGGCCACAGCCTGGGGCTATCCAGGCTGGAGATCCCCAGCCCTGCTCCACCCAGGTACTCTGTCTTAGCTCCCTGCAGCCAGGCCCATCTCTTTCTAGAGGCAGAGAGAGAGTCTAGGGGCTCCTGGCTCCCAGCCTTCTTATACAGCCAGCTAGGCTCTGATTGGGGCGTGGCCCAGCTGCAGCTACTTCCCCAATCAGCCCAGTAGCTGCTTCCCTGCCCCAGCCCTCTCCCAGGGCTTTTCCAACCCCTCAGGGCAGGAGCGGGTGTCCACCCCGCTACAAGCAGGTCCTCAAGGAATCCAATATAGGCAAGTCCCTTCTCCCCTCCATCCCTGGTGCCTCAGTTTCCCAATCTGTAAAATGGGGTAATGCTACTGAGCTGCTTTGGTGAAGCGCTTTGACACCTGTGGGTGAAAACTGTTGCAGAAATGCTACATCTGATTGGCAGGGGATGAAGTGTTTGGCAGCATGAGAATGGTTTGCACTTGCCACGATCCGCCTGCTCCGGGGGAATGGGGCAGGCAAGGGTGTAATAGGATATGTTTGTAAGAAACAGATAACCCACAAGGGAACACGGCTGTTCCACTGGAATGGAGGGGCATTTCCCCCCAGAACAACTTTCCTCTAAGGCAGGGGCGACAAGCACTTACCCACACTAGCTGTGATTAAGCTAGTCACTAAAAATAGCAGCGTAGCTGCAGCTGCCCGGGTGGTGGGATGGGCGAGCTGCCCTGAGTACGTACGGTCCCCGGGGTGGCTGTGCACCTCCAGCTCTGGTGCAGATGGACCCCAAGGTCCCGTACATGGGATGCACTGTGAGGCCCTGAGAATCTACTGAGCAGCCTTGACTCCTGAGAGACGAGTGATAAAGGGCCTGAGGGCCTCTCTGTCTCCATCTTGTCAGGGAGCCTGTGGCCAAACAGACTCAAGCCAATGGCATCTCCTTAGAAGCCAAGCAGGGATGTGCTGGGCCATAGGGTCCAACTCCTTGTCCAGCTCTTGTACCATCGGCCATTGCACTAGTTCCTCAGGGCCGACCGGGAGCTGCCAAGGGCTCCTTGCCAGCACTGAAAGGTTCTTCTCTAGCATCTCCCCCCGGTTCTTTGTTGCAGATGAAAATGGGATGCGGCATGCAATGATCATTATCCCCTCCTTCCTGGCCTCCTCCACATTGCTGGTGGTGGCGGTCATCGTCTGGAAGACGTGTCGGAGAGGGAGGGATGCTGAGAGGGAACCCATCATCTTGCTGGAAGGTAAGGACACGAGCTCTGCAGCTTTGGGTCTCACTCCCCAAACAGGCCTTTGCCCATCTCCAGCCCTGGCCCCTTGATCTTGCCAAGATTTTTTAGTGATCACGTCAGCAAAGCTTACTAGGTGAGTCTGGGTTAAGAGAATTTTCAAGCCCTAATGAGCCTCACGGCTCCCACATGGCTTGTCTGGATCCCCTCCAGAAGGGACAGAATGCTGCCAGCTGGACACACGGCATGCACCCAGCATGAGACGTGGAAAGGACTGAAAAGGGGATGTGCACAACAGTGCGTGTAAATCTCAGCCAAACCTTTGGAGTGGCTGCTGCTGTGTAATTCAGCTGAACAACCCCTCTGAGAGGGAAGTCAAGATGATCAGAGCACGAGGGAGTTGTGAGTTCAAGTCCTCTTCTCTGACCATTATGTCACACTTCCTGCTGGCTAGCGATTGGTCAAAGTCAGCCAATCATTGAGGGTGTAAGATGAGCAATAGGGGAATATCCCCCCAGGCTACGGTCCTGTTCAGTTGAGGAGGTTCAGCCTGTGTAGCGCACTGAAGCAGGAAGCAAAGATTCCACTAGACTGTAGAGATTCAGCCCGGTTTCTGTTGCATTGGTCAGGGAGATGCCATGGCAACAGGGATCCCACCCTCCCCTCGCAGGGCTCTTATGTGGCACCAAGATTGATTTAGCTCCAGGCCACAATCGTTTCTGGGGATAGCTCCCTTGGCAGCGTCGGCCCTGGAGCCTCTGCAGTGGAAACATACAGTCCAAGCAGAGAGGATCTGGATCCTGAAGTAGTAGCCAGCCGAGAGGGAGCTCGTCAGTCCTGCCACGGTTGAACAGTTCCACTGAAGGTCATGTGTGTCAGCCCCTCTTGTAGACAGAGATCAGCCTTACAGCCCAGCCCTGCTGAGCACCAGCTGAAAGAAGGTCCATGGAAATACAGCACTGGAGACAGCTGGTGTTTTAGCATGTCCCTTCCTCCCTCCAACTAAGGGTTGCAATATCATCACATTTCATACATCACCAGGTACAGCACACGAGAGCAGCATTCCAGAGCCCTTTATGCTCAATCACAAACATAAGGGGAAAAGAAAGAGAAATACAAAGAACTGAAGCAAGGCCCAGAGCCATTCCATCTCCTCTACACCTCTCTCTGTCCTGTGGCGCTGAGGGCTATCGAGGTACCAGAACATCTCCCAGATTTAAGTGGTAATTTTACTTATGTCTGTTATTGTCCCAGGGGTTTGTTGCCATATTAACAAACACCAACCAAAAGTGAACAAATTATTTGAGGAACAGATATTGCAATCATACACAGACGGTATGCAAAGGTGATGGTAATACTGCAGTGCATCATCAGTTACTAGCCAACAGAGCTGAGTGGTTAGTTGATTTTTTTCAGTTCAGTGGCCAACCTGAAAAACCTGGAAAAAACGGTTTGTTTGAAACCAAAATGTAGGGTTTTTTCCCCTGGCCAAAGTGAAAAACCAAAAATTTTTTATTCAGGTCGAACAAAACATTTTGAATGTCGATTTGAAATGATATTTACAAAACAATTTGTTTGCATTTTCAAAAGAAAACATCAAAACCATTTGTTTAGAAAAAGTCAGACTCAAACATGGTGACATTTCCCCCAAAACATTTTCAGGGTTGGTGGGATGGGATTGGCCTAAACAATTTGACCCAGATTGGTGAGTAGTTTTGGTGTCTCAAAACTGCATTTTTCAATAAATCTACTGTGACCCGAGGTGCCTGGGGCAGCCCACACTGAAAATGCCCAGGGCAAGGCAGGCTGCAAAAGGAGAGCAGGTTCTCCCAGAACTGAGGGTTAACACGGCAGTTAGATTCCCCAACCAGGCACAAACTGTGCTCCTGATTCCCCACATTGGTTATCAAGAAGCTAAACAAAAAAATAAATAAATCATCCAGCCCCCTTTATTGCATTCCAGTTCTCTGGCTAGGTCCAGTAAAATGAGGAGTTATTTAAAACTCTGCTCACTATACAAAATGTTCTTCTGATACCCAAAGGCCAGCCACATTGCCAGGTCAATATTAGTTTGGATCTTATCCAAAACACCATGCTGCCAGCCAGTCTTTAGTAACTAAAACTAAAGGTTTATTAGACAAGAAAAGAATGAGAAGAGAGTTGTTAAATAGTCAAAGCCATCAGATACATATGTAAGACTTCAGAATCCATATATCACGTTCTCAGCAGCATTGGTGAGTTTGCTGGCTTGTAGAGTCCCTCTGGAACACATCCAAAGCTTGGATGGGTCATTCAGTCCTTTTTTTCAAAGCTTCAGTTTGTAGAGAAGTTGCTCCAGAGGTAAGAAGCCGGATTGAAGACAAAATGGAGATGGTGCAGCTGCCTTTTCTATCCTTTGCCATGTGGTTTGTACATCCTCTGTCCCAAACACAAGCTCACAGCACATGGGCCTGGAAAAACACTTGGAGTCCCCTGTCCACAGGCATGACCCTAGGTGTCCTGCTGACTCACAGTTGTAGCCCCTGGCTTCTCTCAATGGGTTCATTGTACGGCTGATTGCCCTTGATAGGCCATCAAGCAGGCTGGATAGTGCCAATGCCAATCTGGAGTGTCACTCAGAAACACAGCACAAGTTTGATATACAAATATACCACACATTTATAACTCACAGTACAAAGATGGGTTTCAGAGTGGTAGCCGTGTTAGTCTGTATCAGCAAAAACAATGAGGAGTCCTTGTGGCACCTTAGAGACTAACAAATTTATTTGGGCATAAGATGACACATACATATAAACACAATTATCATATTTAGCCAATTATAACTTTCCCACTAATACCTTACATGGCATATACTGTAAGATTCAATGCAATTTTGTAATATTGGTATCAATCATATTATAAATGGTCACCCATATGCCGTACAGCGTCACATCTACAAGTTGCCAAAACAATTTCACCAAACTACAGTTGCAATCCTGTATTTGGTGGCCATCACCATGGTATCCTGCCACCTTAAAAGACTTAAACTGAGGTGTTCAAAATCTCAGGTCTAGAAACCAGACTCCATGCTCCCTGCAGAACTAGTCAGCTTGGGAAACAGGATTTAATCAGCTTAATCCAGCTGGTCAAAAAGGCATGTCTAAGAGCTGCCACATTCCTTCTGGTCATATTTCAGCAGGGAGTGAATCCCAGAGGTCACTGCCAAGGAATCTCTGTCGCTAGCCTTTATAGGGTTATAACAGCACCATTCCTTTGAAGACAGGGCTTTGTGTCTGCCCACCACCTTCCACTGGAGAGCCTTGAAGTGCTTTACCAACAGTAACACAATTCCTGCATAAGAAGGGGCAATAGCTTCCTCCTCCTCTCACAGAGAGGGAAAGGTACAGAAAGGAGTGGTGGCCTAGTGGTTTGGGTGGTCCTCTTGCCCTTTGGCGAGCTGGGTTCAACTCCCTGCTCTGCTGCAGACTCCACCTGGGACTTTGGCAAAGTCTCTCTGAGTCTCAGTTCCCATGTGTCCAAAAGCAATACTAGTCTTGCCCAGCCTTGGGGGAGGGGTGTGACTCTACACACTGAGGAAGGTGAGGTGCTCAGATACTCCAATAATGCCAAGTACCTAAGCTAGATGTGCTATGTCAGAAGTTACACAGTGAGTGTGTGCTGGAGCTGGGAATAGAACACATGCTCAGTGCTGGCTGTGTTCTGGCTGTGTTCTCACCGTGTTCTCATGTATGATGATTCTTTCTTGGCAGATGATGTTCCAGGGCAAGATGGGAAGGAATATGACTCCCTGCCCACAGCCACTTCAGCAGAGAGAATATTGGAGTTTAAGGATTCCCTCTTAGCAAAGTGGGAGCTGCCTAAAGACTGGAACATCCAGGAGGAGGCGTTTTTGGGCATGGGGCGATATGGACAGATTTCCCGGGCCACCCTCATCCAAACAGGTTCTTTGGGGCCTTCACTGTCTGTGATTCTGAGGAAACTACCAGGTGAGCAAGTTGGGGAGAGGAGTTTTCTCTCACTGCCAGGTCTGGGCTGTCTGGTGCGTGATAGCCTAGATGGGACGTCTAGAACAGGAGACTGGTCTAGAAAGAAAGCTGCAAGCATTAGCTAGAATTATACTTTAGCCATCTAAGTAAATGTCACAGTGGCCAATTTGGCCAACATAACAAGGTTTGAACCAGGGACCTCCAGAGCAAAATGCATGAGCTACTGCAGCTTGAGTTAAGCCTCTTGCAGGGGAAGACTTGTGTCCTCTATGACTGAGGGTACGTCTACACTACGAAATTAGGTCGAATTTATAGAAGCCGGTTTTATAGAAATTGGTTTTATACAGTCGATTGTGTGTGTCCCCACATAAAATGCTCTAAGTGCATTAAGTCGGCGGACCATGTCCACAGTACCGAGGCTAGCGTCGACTTCCGGAGCGTTGCACTGTGGGTAGCTATCCCACAGTTCCCGCAGTCTCCGCCGCCCATTTGAATTCTGGGTTGAGATCCCAATGCCTGATGATGCAAAAACAGTGTCGCGGGAGGTTCTGGGTACATGTCGTCAGGCCCCTCCCCCTCCGTCAGAGCAACGGCAGACAATCGATTGGCGCCTATTTACCTGGGTTACCTGTGCAGACAACATACCACGGCAAGCGTGGAGCCCGCTCAGCTCAGCTCAGCTCACCGTCACCATATGTCATCTGGGTACCAGCAGACGTGGTACTGCATTGCTACAAAGCAGCAGCTCCTTGCCTTTTGGCAGTAGATGGTGTATTACGACTGGTATCCATCGTCGTCGTATTCCTCAGTGAGTTTGGTCAGAGGCACCTGGGCAGACATGTTTTGTCTCCTGGAAACTCAGTCCTACCGGCAGTCCTATTGAACCGTCTTGACGATGATGGCTAGCAGTCGTAGTACAGCATCTTCTGCCAAGCACCCAGAAGATGCCAATGGCTATCAATCATGCTGCACCGTCTGATGCCAGCTTAAGATGTAAAAAATAGTTGGACCAGATTTGTTCTGTATTCATTTGCTTCCCCCTCCCTCCGTGAAATCAACGGCCTGCTAAACCCAGGGTTTTGAGTTCAATCTTTGAGGGGGCCATTCTGTGTGACAGTTGTTTGTGTTTCTCCCTGATGCACAGCCACCTTTGTTGATTTTAATTCCCTGTACCTGTAAGCCATGTTGTCACTTACCCCTCCCTCCCTCCCTCTGTCAGACAATAGTTTCGCGCCTTTTTTCAGCCCAGACGCCATAGCACTGGGATCATGGAGCCCGCTCAGATCACCGCGGCAATTATGAGCACTATGAACACCATGCGTATTGTCCTGGAGTATATGCAGAGCCAGAACATGCCAAAGCAAAATCAGGCGAGGAGGCTATCGCAGCGCGTTGACGAGAGTGATGAGGAAATCGACATGGACATAGACCTCTCACAAAGTACAGGCTCCAGCAATGTGCAAATCATGGTGTTACTGGGGCAGGTTCATGCCGTGGAACACCGATTCTGGGCCCGGGAAACAAGCACAGACTGGTGGGACCGCATCGTGTGGCAGGTGTGGGATGATTCCCAGTGGCTGCAAAACTTTCGCATGGGTAAGGGCACTTTCATGGAACTTTGTGACTTGCTTTCCCCTGCCCTGAAGCGCCAGAATACCAGGATGAGAGCAGCCCTGACAGTTGAGAAACGAGTGGCGATAGCCCTGTGGAAGCTTGCAACGCCAGACAGCTACCGGTCAGTCGGGAATCAATTTGGAGTTGGAAATCTATTGTGGGGGCTGCTGTGATCCAAGTAGCCAACGCAATCAAAGACCTGCTGATATCAAGGGTAGTGACTCTGGGAAACGTGCAGGTCATAATGGATGGCTTTGCTGCAATGGGATTCCCAAACTGTGGTGGGGCGATAGATGGAACCCATATCCCTATCTTGTCACCGGAGAACCAAGCTACCGAGTACATAAACTCAAGGGGTACTTTTCAATGCTGCTCCAAGCCCTGGTGGATCACAAGGGACATTTCACTAACATCAACGTGGGATGGCCAGGAAAGGTACATGATGCTCGCGTCTTCAGGAACTCTGGTCTGTTTCAAAAGCTGGAGGAAGGGACTTTCTTCCCGGACCAGAAAATAACCGTTGGGTATGTTGAAATGCCTATAGTTATCCTTGGGGACCCAGCCTACCCCTTAATGCCATGGCTCATGAAGCCATACACAGGCAGCCTGGATAGTAGTCAGGACCTGTTCAACTACAGGCTGAGCAAGTGCCGAATGGTGGTGGAATTTACATTTGGAGGTTTAAAAGCGCGCTGGCGCAGTTTACTGACTCGGATAGTCCTCAGCAAAGCCAATATTCCAATTTTTATTGCTGCTTGCTGTGCACTCCACAATATCTGTGAGAGTAAGGGGGAGACATTTATGGCGGGGTGGGAGGTTGAGGCAAATTGCCTGGCCGCTGATTATGCGCAGCCAGACACCAGGGCGGTTAGAAGAGTACAGCAGGCGCGGTGCGCATCAGAGAAGCTTTGAAAACCAGTTTTGTGACTGGCCAGGCTACGGTGTGAAACTTCTGTTGGTTTCTCCGTGATGAACCCTCTGCCCCCCCTCCTCCCAGTTCACTCTACTTCCCTGTAAACTAACCACCCTCCTCTCCCCCCTTCGAGCACCGCTTGCAGAGGCAATAAAGTCATTGTTACTTCACATTCATGCATTCTTTATTAATTCATCACACGACTAGGGGGATAACTGCCAAGGTAGCCCGGGAGGGGTGGGGGAGGGGGGAAGGAAAAGAACACACTGCAGTTTAAAACTTTAACACGTATTGAAGGCCAGCCTTCTGATGCTCGGGCAATCATCTGGGGTGGAGTGACTGGGTGGCCGGAAGCCCCCCCACCCATTCTTGGGCATCTGGGTGAGGAGGCTATGGAACTTGGGGAGGAGGGCTGTTGGTTACACAGGGGCTGTAGCGGTGGTCTCTGCTCCTGCTGCCTTTCCTGCAGCTCAACCATACGCCGGAGCATATCAGTTTGATGCTCCAGCAGCCGGAGCATCGACTCTTGCCTTCTGTCTGCAAGCTGACGCCATCTATCCTCTTCAGCCCGCCACTTACTCTCTTCAGCCCGCGATTCAGCCCGCCACCTCTCCTCTCATTCATATTGTGCTTTTTTGCACTCTGACATTGACTGCCTCCATGCATTCTGCTCTGCTCTGCTCTGTCAGTGTGGGAGGACATCTGGAGCTCCGAGAACATATCATCCCGAGTCCACCATTTTCTCCTTCTAATCTTCGCTAGCCTCTGTGAAGGAGAAACATTTGCAGCTGGTGAAGGAGAAGGGAGAGGTGGTTAAAAAAGACACATTTTAGAGAACAATGGGTACACTCTTTCATGTTAAATTTTGCTGTTCACATTACACAGCACATGTGCTTTCGTTACAAGGTTGCATTTTTCCTCTTATATTGAGGGCCTGCCGGTTTGGTGTGAGAGATCACTCATGCAGTGCCACGCAACAGATTTCGGCTTGCAGGCAGCCATGGTAAGCCACAGTCTTTTGGCTTTTTTAACCTTCATAACATGTGGGAATGGTTTCAAACAGTAGCGCCCTCATTTCCCATACCAAGCACCCGTTGGGTTAGCCATTTAAAATGGCTTTGCAATGTAAAAGGAGGGGCCGCAGTTTCCGGGTTAACATGCAGCACAAACCCAACTACCCCCCCCCCAACACACACACCCAATTCTCTGGGATGATCACTTCATCCCTCCCCCTCACCGCGTGGCTAACAGCAGGGAACATTTCTGTTCAGCCGAGCAGGAACGGGCACCTCTGAATGTCCCTTTAATAAAATCACCCCATTTCAACCAGGTGACTGTGAATGATATCACTCTCCTGAGGATAACAAAGAGAGACAAGGAATGGATGTTGTCTGCATGCCAGCAAAACACCGGGACCATACGCTGCCATGCTTTGTTATGCAATTATTCCAGACTACGTGCTACTGGCCTGTCATGGTAAAGTGTCCTACCATGGTGGACGGGATAAGGCAGCCCTCCCCAAAGCCTTTTGTAAAGGCTTTGGGAGTACATGAAGGAGAGCTTTCTGGAGATGTCCCTGGAGGATTTCTGCTCCATCCCCATACACGTTAACAGACTTTTCCAGTAGCTGTACTGGCCACGATTGCCAGGGCAAATTAATCATTAATCATTAAACACGCTTGCTTTTAAACCATGTGTAATATTTACAAAGGTACACTCACCAGAGGTCCCTTGTGTGTCCTCAGGGTCTGGGAGCATGCCTTGGGTGAGTTCGGAGGTTACTGGTTCCAGGTCCAGGGTGATAAACATATCCTGACTATTGAGGAAACCGGTTTCTCCGCTTCCTTGCTGTGAGCTATCTTCATTGTCTTCATCATCATCTTCCTCGTACCCAGAACCCTCTTCCCTGTTGCGTGATTCTCCATTGATAGAGTCAAAGCACACGGTTGGGGTAGTGGTGGCTGCCCCCCCAAGCATGGCATGCAGCTCCGCGTAGAAGCGGCATGTTTGCGGCTCTGCCCCGGACCTTCCGTTTGCCTCTCTGGCTTTGTGGTAGGTTTGCCTTAGCTCCTTAATTTTCACACAGCACTGCTGTGCGTCCCTGTTATGGCCTCTGTCCTTCATGGCCTTTGAGACTTTTTCTAATATTTTGCCATTTCGTTTACTGCTACGGAGTTCAGCTAGCACTGATTCGTCTCCCCATATGGCGAGCAGGTCCCGTGCCTCCCGTTCTGTCCATGCTGGAGCTCTTTTGCGATCCTGGGACTCCATCATGGTTACCTGTGCTGATGAGCTCTGCGTGGTCACCTGTGCTCTCCACGCTGGGCAAACAGGAAATGAAATTCAAAAGTTCGTGGTGCTTTTCCTGTCTACCTGGTCAGTGCATCTGAGTTGAGAGTGCTGTCCAGAGCGTCACAATGAAGCACTGCGGGATAGCTCCCGGAGGCCAATAACGTCGAATTCCATCCACACTACCCCAAATCCGACCCGCAAAGGCCGATTTTAGCGCTAATCCCCTCGTCGGAGGTGGAATAAAGAAACCGGTTTAAAGGGCCCTTTAAGTTGAAAAAAAGGGCTTCGTCGTGTGGACATGTCCAGGCTTAATTCGATTTAACGCTGCTAAATTCGACCTAAACTTGTAATGTAGACCAGGCCTCAGGCACCATGGGGGGGGGGGCGGGGGAGGGAGGGTCCTGTACCACACACTCACCAGTGGGATAGACACCACTTATTAAATAAGAGCATGTGACCAGGGAAACCTAAGCAGCTTTTAGGAATTCCTCCTTCAGTGTCTCTAGCTCCAGGATTCTTTGGTGACCTCCCCTCCCCCCCAGCTGCTGCTCCAGTCTGATGGTGCAGGAGAAAGGCTCAGACAATGCAGCTCCTATTGCAGGCATGACAGAAGCAGGAGACTTTCCGGACAAAACGTTCATAAACAGAGGCCTACAAAAATGCATGTGCACATGTACTGCCATATGCACAAGTGCAACTATTCCAATTTGCACATGCGTGACCCCTTTTAACCCACTGAAGGTCTTTGTCTCCCTCTAGTGGCTGGACAGGTGAAATGTTTGAGTCCACTACAGCCCCAAGATGCCTGTATCAACTCCAATAGCCGAAAGAATAGACCTGCTTTTAGAGCCAGAGGTCCCTGGTTGAGTCGCTGCAGATGACTGAGCCGGAGGCAGGGGGCACAATGGGTAAATGTGTGTACAGTAAGGGGGCATTTTTGTCCACCAGCCTCGCTGCCTATAGTTTGGAAATCAGCCCCTCCAGTTTGTTGTGAGATAAGCTCTGTTACTATTTAAACGTAAGGAGGGGGTGAGGTGAGGTGCAGTGGCTGAGTGGTTAAGGTGCTCAACTACAATCTAGATGGGTGTGGGTTCTAGTCTTGATCTCCCACTAAAAACCTGCTTCCAGTTCACCCAGCTACAGAATGAGTACCTGCTCTGTTGCGTCAGGGCAGCCCAAGGTGGTTGGCTGTTTCACATCCTTGTTACTGTTGGCTATGAACCTGCTGTGCCTTAGCCATGGCAGCCCAACGAACCATTGGGTTAGGAGACCTTTGACTGTCAAAAGCAAAAGATTCACTTTGGTACATTCTTTCTATAGTCTGGCTATTGTGTTCTAGTTCTGGGCCACAGCCAACACACCTTGTCCAAATCAAGAGCAGATAGTCCTGATATCACTAGAATGGGGAGAACCAAAATCATGGATCTAAACAGGGCATGTGATAGACCAAGCCTCATGTAGCAAATCTGGCTCTGTGCTGCAAATCCAACCTATCTAGTCCCTGTTGAGTCACATCTTGCTCCTCAAGGGTTAGTCCCCTTTCTTGTAGGCCATCAGCTTTCCTCCTCTTGGTGCCCATGCTTGGTATTAATGTTGCTTCTGGTTCCTTTCCATCAGTGGCCACCAGCCCTCAGGAAATGAAGGATTTTATAGAAATGATGAAGTTTCACATCAAGATCTGTAAACATGACAGCCTGGTGAAGGTCCTGTGGTGTCAGAGCCAAGCTCTACCCCTCTGCCTCATCCTGGAGGCCATGAGCCTAGGAAATTTACTGCAGTTCCTGTGGCAAGCCCGTCAGGTGAGAGGAGCTGTTGGGTTTTGACGTGGGCAAGCTGTAGTGGGGGAATGCCGGGCAATGCACCACCCTCAGCCCCCTTCCACTTCTCTCTGCATTGGGCCTTTTTTAGGGTTAATGTAATTCTCCAAGCAGAAGTGGGAAAACATTTGACTTTAGCAAATGCACTCCAAGACGTGTTGGGATAAAGTCAGGAGAGTTGGAAAGTCTCATGATGTTTGTGTGAAAGCCCCAATTTGATAGAGTTCAAGGCCAGAAGGGATAGAAAGCCCAGGCCATTGCATTTCACCCAGTAACCTCTGTGTTGAGGCCAAAGACTTTAGTTAAAGAATTTCAGTCCTGGAGACCAAACTTGTGAGGCAGAGAACAGGAGAGTGTGAGGTGCCACCAATGCCTGAGACCCCTGCAATGGCAGGGGATTGATATGTGAGATTTGCCCTGATGACTCCAGCAGGTGACCCATGCTCCATGCTGCAGAGGAAGGTGAAAACCTGCAAGTCCCCTGCTAATCTGACCTGTGGGAAAAGTTCCTGGAGTCATATTATTCCATGAGAATGTCAGTTTTCATTTTTTTTAACGTGAGTTTTTAGCCCTCTTAGGGCTGTGTGACCTGAGTGAAGGTCCCCGGGATGAAGCCCCTCATCCTGCCTATGGCCCGGATCCCTGTGCAGACCCAGGAGGGGCCGGGCTGGCTGGTAGTTGGGGTTCTCCAAGGTATCGGCTGTGAGATCCTGTTGGGGGATGACTGTGTCTCTTTGGGACAGGATCCAGGCCCTGCTCCTGTAATGGCCAAGGATTTGAATTTGAATCCAAGGAACCAATCGGCTGAGACTGAAGGGGTCAGTAAAAATGCAAATGGCCTGGATGGCAGTGGGGAGGAGCTGCTAGGCTCAGGGTACCTGCCTGTCTGTAACCAGACCCCTGGGGCTGAGTGGGAGGGAGAGATGCTCCCCGCCCCCCTGCACACCGGAGAAGGGGCCACGCTGGCTCTGATGCTGTAACCAAAGCAGCGAGCTCGCTGCCTGCCCCCACTGGGACAGCAAGGGCAGCGGTGAGCATGGTGGGAGCTGAGACCCCAGCTGAGTGGGGGGGACACTGGAAGGGCAGGCTGGCTGCCAACCAGGTTTGCCTGGTCCAGACATGCTGCTGGGAAGTGATCCCATGGCAGGGAGGGGGCTATTAGGGACAGAGCTCAGCAGGGCTGTGACCCCAGGCCCAGCCAGCGAGAGGGAACAGGTCCCACTCCCTTCCCCAGCAGCTGAATTTCTCTGAATTTGCAGAGGGATCCCTCCTTGGAGAAGCAGAGGGAACTGGCTGGCCACAGCGCTGCAAACCCCCTTGGAGAAGGCTGCAGGGAAAGATTCCTATGGGAAAAGGGATTCCTGTACCGGGAATGGGCTCCCCAAGGGGATGTAGAACTGGGGGAAATCAGGAGGCAGCTGGTGGTGGCCCAGAAGTGTCACCACAGACTATTGTACCTGGCCCACGATGTCCCTCTCTCGGGACACCAGGGGATCCAGCGCCCCAGGCAGCAGCTGCTGCAGAACTTTTACTGACCTGGGGTCTGGACACTGAAGCTGTACTCTGAGAACAGCCCGTAAATCTGACAATGTGAGGGCTCATTTATTCTCTCTACTTCTGAGTGGAACTTGCTCACTTTACAGCGTAAGTCAGGACTCATTCTAGCTGCCAGCACCACAAATTCCGAAATCCCATTTTTGCTGTCTGGATTCTTATTCCACCTCATCAGCATAGTTTCTGAATGCCTTGTGCTTTCTGCCTCTGCACTATCACTAGTAAGAAAGCTTCTGCTGTCAGGGTTTAGCTGACAGTTCTGTTCATGCATGAGATCAAATAGAATCCAGGTCTCTTTCAAATAACTGCAGTGTGAAAATGAATAACAACTTAATTGTGTCAGTAAAGTGAGCAGATATCACTGAAATTCTACAGAGCATAAGATATGATTTTTACGATAGTTACATCTATAAATGTGCTTTACAGGAGATAGGAATTCATGTTAAACATACTCAAGACTAGATGTGATTATTCCTAAATACTATGTGGTGACTGGTGCCCTAGCTAGACCTACCGTAGATATTGGGAATTCTTTAGGAATAATCAAATCTCGCCTAGTCCTACCACAAAGCAGAGAGTAGGAACTAGACTATTTACAAGAGGTCCCGATTGCCTTCCAACCCAAATGGCTCTGTTTTGTGCTGCAGCATATAGAAGAGAGTTTTGAGCAGAGCAAAGAATACCCAACTAGGAACTATAACCAGAGGAATTACTGCATTTAGGTATTTTGCCTGTTTTCTGGTTAACCAATACATTGTGCCCTGAGGTGACAGCCTGAGACAAACTCTGGTGTGATGCTTCCCAGGCTGGTGGGCCAGCTGCCTGGTTTACAGGGAAAAGGGGAGAAGTGGAATTCTGACACTCAAATTGGGGAGGGGGGGTTAAAACCGAAAGGGTCCTGATCCTTAGACTTCCCTGTCTTGTCTGCAGTTTCAATTGGATTAGAATGTAATTATTGCGATCCCAAGCGGAAGTTGTTGTAGAACATGGCAGTGTTTGTGGGGAGGCGGAAGCTGCCTGAGTGAACTGTCTCTTCCCCTTTTGACTTGGTAGGGGGACTTACCCATTAAGGGGCATCTTTATGAGCTGACAGAAAAGAGCGTGTTCACCATGGCGATCCAAATTGCACGCGGACTGGTAAGTGTTGCATATGGAGGGGAGGGGAGTGGGGCAAATACACTGGTTTGTTTATTTCAAGGTCAATTCATTAATCTTTAGAGAAGAAACATGGCTCGTTCCTGTGGTGATCTTAGACCTGGAGGACAATCAATGGGCAAAACCTCGCCAGAGCTGTTGTCTTATTTAGCTGATCCTACAGGATGTTCCTGAGCTCAGTTCCCAGCTGGGAGAGCACATAGATCATACTGAGAACAGAAGGGATCTCTTGGAGCATTACAGCCCCTTCCCTACAAGGCAAATGTAGGATTCAGCTAAGTAATGCTGCCGGAAAGGGAGCTGGAATTTGCACAGACATGCCCATGGGCAGGCCAACGCCTTAACCTCTCAGCCATTCTAGATCACAGGCAGGATCCCCATTCGGGAGAGCGCAGTTGCAGTAGTGAACTCTGTGGCTGCTGAGACCAGGGGTGGCAGACCACTTGCTACTCACGCAGTCCCAAAGTCTCCTTTGCAAACGTGGCTCTTCTAATTTCAGGAATATCTGACAGCGAGCCAGAAGCTGATCCATGGTGACGTAGCAGCTCGAAATGTCCTGATCCACCAGGATATGACAGTTCGGCTCTGCGGCCTGGGGCTGGCGGGAGAGGTCTACCGCAGGGGCATGCTGCCATCTAGGAAAGCAGCTGAGGTGCCCATCAAGTGGCTGCCACCAGAAAGGATCCTGAAGCACCCAGTCACAGCCAAGGGTGACGTGTGAGTTATTAACGCCGGCTAGAGCACACCCAAAACCAAGTTGTTCTCCAGAGCTGACTGGGGAATAGCAGAGGGGCAGCCGAGGAAATGCATGCCGGCTCTTAGGGGAAACCTGGGCACCAACAGCCTAGATGCTTGGGCTAGATTAAGGCCTTACAGGAGGGTTCCTGAGGGGCTGCCAAGCTCCAGTCCTGTGTGCTGTGAGAAGCATGTTAGAAACAGTGCTCACTGGGGAGTGCACACCCCGTGCTAGCATCTAGGACAGGGATTGGCAACTTTTGGCACGCGGCTCATCAGGGTAAACACCCTGGTGGGCCGGGTCGGTTTGTTTACCTGCCGCGTCGGCAGGTTCGGCCGATCGTGGCTCCCACTGGCCGCGGTTCGCCACTCCAGGCCAATGGGGGCTGCGGGAAGCGGCGCAGGACGAGGGATGTGCTGGCCGCCGCTTCCCACAGCCCCCATTGGCCTGGAGCAGCGAACCGCAGCCAGTGGGAGCCGCGATCGGCCGAACCTGCGGATGGGGCAGGTAAACAAACCGTCCCAAAAGGTTGCTGATCCCTGATCTAGGGAGATCTCACAAGCCCCTTCCAGCTCCTAGCAGCACTTTTCCCTCTTCTTGGCAGTGATTTGAATCCGCAGTGGTGTGTCCTCACCTCCTCTCTGGTCTCCTGGGGTCCTTGTTTGTGGTGCACTGTACTGAGCTTTCCCTCAGCCCTGCATCTTCTCCTGGCTCCTCCTCTGGGTACTCTGGCTTGGCCCACTGGCCAAATCACATGAAAGTCAAAACCGCTCCAGGGTAACGAAAGTCCAAACAAATCTTCAGACTCAGAACCCTTCCGCCCCCTTCAGGCTCCGCTGCAGATCCCTTGTTGGCTCTGCCTCAGGACTCCCCTGCAGGGGCCAGACCTGCGCCTGTAGAGTTCTTCTCCATTGTTTCCTGTCTGTTAAGCCCTATCCTGGGGCTTCTCTCCGGCAGAGACCTGTCTCCTCTGAGCTCCCTCGGTCCACTTACAAGGCCCAGCTCCACCTCCTCAGGCCAGGAGACAATTGGTTAATTACCAGAGCATGACGAACTGGGATTCTTTCCCTTGCCTTGCAGGTGATGGGGGTAAGCCCTGTCACAGAACCCTCTAACAATGACCTGCCACCTAAGCGTGCTTGAAGAGTAGTTTGGTGTGATAGAGCTTCCTGCATGGGAAGCTGAGATAGGTCTGAGATAATGTTACACTTCTAGCTGCCTCAGCCCTCTGCTGTTCTTGATATTCCCCCTCCCTTTCAGAGTAGAAACCTACAGCTGCCCCTTGCTCTTCTGCAGGCGGTTTGACAATAGCCAGAAGGCCCCAGCTCTGCGATTACTGATGTATACGGCGCAAACGCAGCTTCATTCTTATCAGCTAGGTTAAGCCTGAAGACTAGAAGGGGAACGAAGCTTCTTGTGATGAACAAACTTAGCTGTGAGGAGAGAACGTTTGTTTGCAGGAGCTGTTTCTACAGGATTTAATGTGGCAAAGGTTTCAACGAGTGTTTTCTCTTGGAAAATTAATCATTAGACCATGAGCTCAGTCTCTGCCTAAGGGTAGCTCTTTTGAGAGTGAGTTTTATACCTCGCGAGCATGGGCAGCAGATATCGTAGGCCAGGGGAGGCTAAGCCTCCCCTAACCCAGGCCGTGGCCTCACCCATGCTCCACCCTGAAGACCCACCCTCGCTCCCCCTCTCCCCTGAAGCCAGCAGGGGTTCCTCTGGCTGGGGGTGGGGGGGGGGAAGGGCTCGGAGCTCCGGTGGGCAGGGGCTCCGGTGGAAGGGGTGGGGCCTGGAGCTAACCTCCCCAAAGGGGAGGTTCACCCGCTGCCCATGCTCGCGAGCCTCCTGCTTTGCTAAGGATGCCCCAGGCAGATAGGGTGACCGCAGGTGTCCTGAAGTTTCAAACAGCAAAGTTTTTCTCTCCACCACTCCCTGCGCTCAGTGTCCTAACACACCTAGTGCTGGGGGAGTCTCAAAGGGTTCACAGGTTTGATTCTCTGAGGTGAGATTTTGATCAGTCCCTTCTCATGAGATTCCTCTGCTGTAATCAGGGTAGAAATACCCTGAAAATTGTATTTACCTGGTTCTCCTGCATCTGATCCCATACATCACAGGATGCACAGAGGTGCACGGAAATGACATGTGGGTTTGAGGCCAAGACTCATGTTAGTTTCTACATCATCAGAAGTGGTTTATCCCATCCATAACTAAGTATAATGACTGCCTGAGGTCTTCTCGGCGGTCTCGGAGCCTTGCTCAGTCATGAGCTCCTCCCCGCTCCCAACGACCTACCAGTCACAGAGCACTGCTGTATTCATTTAGATGGAATATAGGGGCCCAAAGATGTTAACATAATCCAGTGACTGTCCAACTTTAGACAGTGTTAAACAAGGTTTGATAGAAAGAGACCTCAGCCTGCTTAGGACCATGGCAAACATAATTAAACAGCCTTTAACCTTTTAGTAAAGACAAAGGGGCGAAGGAAAAAGAGTTAAAACATCTGAAATATAAAGTATTAAATAAGGCTTTCATTTTAACAACATCCGTTGTTCCCTTTCCCTTTATCTGGAGAGTTTTAGAAGGAACCACCTTGTCTGACAGTCTCTGAGATGGTAGCAAAGCTGGGGATAACTGTCTTTGGGGAGAACAGAAGAAGTTAGCTGAGATGTGCTGGGCTGTTTTGCTGTTAAAGTCTGATCCCGTTTCATCTCAGGTGATGGTTGGGATTCAACTGGTAGAGGTGGAGGTATCATCTGGGTGCCTCTCTCTGGCCCTGTCTGGTCAGGACATCCCTCTGGATTAGGACAAAGAAGAACCAGTGTCCGGGGAGATGGTGGGGTGTCAGCCGTGATGGTGAAGCTTGCTTCAGCAGACTGTCTGTTCTTCCGTATTTCCCTCTCCCCCCCAAATCTCTTTCTTTTAGGACCCATAAAGGGAGTGGTGGGTGGACTAGCCCATCCCCTCATTATTTTGTCCACCAATTAGGCCTAATATCCTAATTTCCGGATCACATTTTCTTGTTTACCAGGCATGGTCTTAACACTGTCCTTGAGTTATACTAGTCGGCCTTTTTGTTTGGACTAATTCAGTCTGTCTCTCTTTTGTACCTTCTCCCATCAACATTTGTTGGTATCGGTTATCATGACATCTTAGGAACTTGCACATACTTTTTGCAGTTGAGCTCACAATTAGAGTAAATTTGTAGGCCCAGTTATCACAGCTCCACTAACAGGGCTCTCAGCTCCTCCCATCCCAGTCCCATTTCAAATCTTTGGGCTCATTTCTCTGCTGCTGCCTTCTACCTGAATCACCTTTTCCTGGAGCCTGTGTAGCTCGCCACATGGCCTCACAAGCAAGGGAAAGAGGGACCCCACAGCCCAGGCAGAGCTGAAGCAGACAGGGTCTCAAGCCTCTATTTCTGTCTTTAAACTGGCTGCAGAAAGAGCGACATTGATAACTCCCCAAATGCTAATTCTCGACCTGTACAGTGTTTGCAAACCACATGTTGCAAGTATTCAAAATTGAGCACTCTTATTGGACACATAGGTGTCATGTACTAGGATTCCACTCCCTGACTGGATAAGCGTAACTCTGTGGCAATGCTCACAATTCTGATTCTGAATTCAGACCTTCCACAAATTAGCACTAGACAATATCAGTGAAGGACATGTTAGATTAAGAACAGGCTAACTGATAGATCCCAAAAGGCAGTTGTCCATGGGAAATAGTTATCAAATGGGGGCAGGGGCGGCTCTAGCTTTTTTGCCGCCCCAAGCACGCAGGCAGGCTGCCTTCGGTGGCTTGCCTGCAGGAGGTCCCGGGTCCTGCGGATTTGGTGGCAATTCGGCAGCAGGTACACCAAAGCTGCGGAACCGGCGGACCTCCCGCAGGCATGCCACCGAAGGCTGCCTGACTGCCACCCTCGCAGGGACCGGCAGGGTGCCCCCCATGGCTTGCTGCCCCAGGCACGCGCTTGGAGCACTGGTGCCTGGAGCCGCCGCTGAATGGAGGGTATTTCTAGTGGGGTTCTGCAGGGATCAGTTCTAGGTCTGATGCTATTCAGTATTTTCATCAATGATCTGGAAGTAAATATAAAATGTGCGAATGACAATCTTTTTATCAGCAAAGATCAATAGAGGGATAAATAATGATGACGGGGCAGCCACACAGAGTGATCTGGATCACTTGGTAGGCTGGGCCCATTCATACAAAGTATGTTTTAATACAGCCAAATGCAGAGTTATACATCTAGGACCAAGGGATGCAGGCCAGACCAACAGAATGGGGGACTGTATCCTGGAAAGCAGGGACTCCGAAAGGATTTAGGGGGCAGAGTGGACAAACAACTGAACATAAGCTTCTGGTGCAACACTGGGGCAAAACAGGCAAATGGGATCTTGGTAGGGAGTAAGAGTAGGGAAGTGATTTTACCTCTATGTATGGCATTGGTGAGACTGATTGAATACTGTGCCCAGTTCTGGAGTCCACAATTTAAAAAGGATATTGGTAAAATTGGAGAAGGGCCACACAAACAATTCCAGGGATGGAGAAAATTCCTTACAGTGAGAGACTTAAGGAGCTCAATCTGTTTAGCTTCTCAGAAAGGTCAAGGGGTGATTTAATTACAGGATATAAGTATCTTCTTGGGGAGAAATACCAGGGATTGGTACTAAAGGGCACTTCGATCTAGCAAGCACAAGCAGAACAAGAATCAATGGCTGGAAGTTAAAGCCAGATAAATTCAAATTAGAACGAAGGCACAAATGTTTAACAGTGATTGACCATTGGAACCAATGACCCAAGGAAGTGGTGGATTTTCCATCTCTTGGTGTCTTCAGATCATGACTGGATGCCTTTCTATAAGATCTGCTTTAGTAAAACACGAGTTATTGGGCTCAATACAGGGTTAACTGTCATCTCTGGCCTACTGGACAGTAAGTCAGACTGGATGACCAAATGGTCCCTTTTGGCTTAACAAAATC